ACCTGGTGTATAGTGTATTCATCACAAATTTTGCGTGTGGATGTAGGCTTCGTTAAGTATGAGCCAAACCACCTTTACTTTTATGCCTTTTTTAGTTGGTTTTGTATATTTTCCTCTTTTATTCTCATGTATTCTGCTATGTGAATAGAATGCACTGTGTTGATTATGATTGTTGTTGACCTTATGCATTCTGCTTGTTTAATTTGTAATTTGTTTTCTGTTCATATTTTTCAAGATTTAAGAAAGATTACTTGTTATTTTTACCTCTGTAATCCAATGCTGATATGCTGCCTGGTGGTTCAACTTCTATCTTCTCAAGCTAATTCAGTAAAAGATTCCCAGCAATCAGTAGCTTCTGGGAACTTAAATGGAGATGTTGATGAAGAATGGTTACACATTTCACAAATGCATACGAGGTAATTTCATAATATGGTGGATACTGGATGTATCTTTTCTAATGTTACAGTACTTACTCAGTCAATAGTTGGTTGAAATCTTTTCAGTTAAAGTTATTGAGTTGTCTTGAATGTGCATTTTACCCAAGGAAAATCTGGATTCAGGATTATTGTGCTTTAGAGTTGGAAGGTAGACTGTCAAAAGAGAGCGAACGGCAGACAGCTTACTGCTGTATAACCTCCTTAGGTGCTGTAGGGATCTTGCCTTTCGTTGACTAAACAAATTTGAAACTAGATCAGTGGTAATAGCATCTTGGAGTTTTAGTAAAATAAGTTTGTCTCTCATCTAAAGGAAAAGTAAAACCCAAAGCACTGCTAGCCAAAAAAAAAGGAGGCCGAAGAGGGAAAGTGAGGTTGTTGACCAGCTTACTGCACTATGTTGCAAAATTTTACACACAATCACAATCGCATAGGGTGTCTGACATTATTGGGCGACAATTTGTTACATGCTATGATTTCTTCTTGTTATGCTTTGGCTTTTCATGCTAATTACCTCTTTTTGTACGAAAAAAAATGAAGAGTTTGAGTTCTATTTTATTTGTACTTAACCCTGTTTGACAACCATTATTTGGGTAAAATGGAGTTTTGAGTAGTGATTTTTTGGAGAATGTGTGGCTACAAAGTAGAGAAAAGTTTTAGCTTTACATGCAGAATATTTTAATGTGTGATTGAAAATAAGCATGTAGAAAAAAGAGTTTTAAAATAATGGTTGTCAAACAGGGGCTTAGTGTGTTTATCATTCAAGCATCTTTTTGTATTTTCCTTGTGCTCTTTTATTGTCCCCAACTCCCCATAAACCTGGATATCAAAAATTGTTGAATCCTTTTACAAATGTGTTTCCATTATACATTATGTGTGACTCAGTATTGAAATATGCATTATATGTGTCTTTGGAATTGAAATTGCATTTACTTTGGTTATATTGCTGTCTTTGACTTTTCTGGAATAATTGTATTCTAATTTTCTTATCTTGCAGAATGGCATCTTTTAGAAACAAATCGATTGATAAATGGCAGAGGAAGACACAAGTCACAACTGGTGCTGCTGCTATTAAAGGCAAATTGCATGCCTTTAATCAGGTTAAACTTTTGAGACCTGAGTTATATTCTTGTGCAGCAAAATGAACAGTGGTGCAATTCTGACTATTATTTTTCTTCAGAATATTAGTGAACAAGTGGCTGCTTACATGAGAGATCCAAGTAAGAT